ATTTTTTGGCAAAGCCATTAACTAGATCCTAATATTTTCTTCTAATCCTAACCCATTTCAAAAACGTGCACCATGATTGAGAGAGAAGATTTTTTTGCAAAACCATGAAATCCTAATACTTTCTTCCTATTTAAAAATGATTCCTGTAATGAGAATAGCGCAAAGTTTAATAATATTAAGGGGTTAAATATAAAGAAATCTAAAAGTTATAAAGATTTAAATAAGAATATCTTTTAAGTTTTCCATGATAAATTAAGGAAGGTTTATAAAATAATTAGACAATGAGTAATATACCTTTTAATTTAATAAATTTATAGCATGTTCTTTTAAAAATTATTATTCTTAAATTTAAATTTAAGGAGAAAAATTTTTAACTGTAAATATTAATAATTGAATTAATAAGTGTAGGAAAGTGTGTTGAACTGAAAATATATCAATTTTTTCTCTAAATAATTATTTAAATTATTAGTGAAAAGGTAATTCTTTATCCATATAGTTAGGATTCCAACCTAATTTTTATAATCTTTTATAATATTTAGAAATATCAATTTATTAATTAATTTTTAATTTATTAATTAATAAATATTAACTGTTTTATTCATTAATAATTAATAATTATATAATTATTTTTATTAATTAAATTAAATAAAATTAATATTTTTAAAAATAATATTTTATCATTTTTAATACTTGCAAAATGTTTAAATTGTTTCAGGCTTTTGAAAAGGTGTTGGGAGAGCTGTTTATATGTATAATGTTTTAATACTTGCACGCCCTTGTAAATGGGGTTAGAGGATCTCTTTACTCTGTTTTATATAATATATTTTTTTAATAAAAAAATATTTTATAATTTTTAATGACCTTATAGTGGGCCATATCTCTACCCCATTATTCCACAGGAGGGGAAATTCTGCAAGTCTGCTTGCTTTTTCAACCAAGTCTGCTTGCTTTTTCAACAGAATCTGTCACCCTTTGCAGCCAATTCAATGGTTTAGGCCCTGCTCATAGAAAATGTAACAAAACACAGCCTTTTCCCAATAAGATTTAGAACATAATTCGTTGAAGGACAACCTGACCTAAGCAATAAATTTCTTTGACCATTAACTCGGTAGCAGGTATCCCACGTCGAAGGCTGTCTCCTCAGACTAAGATGCATGAAAACGTAATTTGGCCGAAAGTGGTACATTTATCTCTTTATTTTTTAGGAGTTATTCTCTGTAAGCCTGCTTGTTTTTTCAACGAAGTCTGCATGCTTTTTCAACCAAATTAATAGTTTAGGGCCTTTAGGCTCTGTAAGCCTGCTTGTTTTTTCAACGAAGTCTGCATGCTTTTTCAACCAGTTTAATGGTTTAGGCTCTGCAAGTTTGCTTGCTTTTTCATCCAATTTAATGGTTTAATTAGGCCCCGCTCATAGAAGATGTGACTAAACACAACCTCTTCCCAATAAGATTTAAAGCATAATTCGTTGAAGGACAACCTGACCTAAGAAATAAATTTCTTCGACCAATGACTTGGAAGCAGGTATCCCACATCGAAGGCTGTCTCCTCAGACTAAGATGCAGGAAAACGTAATTTGGACGAAAATGGTATATTTATCCCTTTATTTTTAAGAATTATTGAAAGATATTAATTGATTTATATTTTAGTTTAATATATTATATAATATATTTATTAAAAAATTATTATTTTTTAATCTAAAATAAAGATAAATAAATTTAAAAATATAACCATACATACAGGATTAGAAACTGATTGATTTAATTATATTTATATTATATTTTAATAGTTGAATTAAAATAAGTATCGAAAAATATGTTAAACTATGTACTAATAATTTTTCTTATTGAAATTAATTTTTATTTTTTTTCTTGAAATAAATTTTCCCTCATATTTTTAAGTTGAATAAAATTAGTTCTCTTATATTTTTATTGAAATAAATTACTCAAAATTTAACTAATAACGAAATCAAACATTAACCAATAAAATTAGTTCTTTCTTTTCTCCTTAAATACCCATTAAGCTATTTCTAATTTGACAATTTTAAACTTATTTTTCTAATGACATGACATTATCTTTACATGTAGTTAAATGAGATTGATTAAGTCTTTTTTTGTAACAAGCTTGATAAGAAAAAAAAAATGTCATTATGTGCCCAATATAGTCCAATTAGTGAGAGTTCAAAGGTATTAAATGAGAGAAAGACGGAATGATAATGAATGATTATATCATATGTTAAACTTTGATTAATTTTTTTCAACTAAAATGTATAAAAATTGATTTCATTTACCCTAAAAGTATAACGGAGTATTTACCTTTAAAAAATATAAAAATTTATTTCAAAAATTACTGACAATAAAAGAGTAAATATACTCTTTTTCGTCCATAATTGTGGGTGAATAAGCTAAGAAACGTGTACTTTTTTTTTTCTTTGTGAGTTAAGAAATGTATACTTTGACTGTGCAAAAGTCTTCTGCCCGTCCCCCACTTCAGGCTTGTTTCTTAAGACGATTAATTTCACGTCACAGTGGCCAGCTAGATTGGCAATATGGGTGGAATGGATACGTCAACTAGTTAAACTTCTCTACTCTTGCCTCTTGCCTCTTCCATTTCGACTGAAAATCCTCTATAAAAGCTCTTCACACCATGCGTGATTTTCCTGCATCTCTTAGAGTACAAAAATCTATACACAAAGAAACTATGGTGTTCTCTTTTGCTCGCTTCTTTTTTATAATCTTGCTAGCCTTTTTAGTTCGACCTTCTTTCCAACATCTACTGTGTCGTAGGGAAGATCGCCTTGCTTTGCTACAATTCAAGGAAAGCTTTGTCATTTACAAGCTTGCTTCTTCTTATGATCCCTTTGCTTATCCTAAAGTCAATCTCTGGAAATCTCAAGGGATGGATTGCTGCTCTTGGGAAGGCGTATGGTGTGACCAAGATACTGGTCATGTTATAGGCCTTGATCTCAGTAGTAGTTGCCTTTTAGGTTCCATTAACTCCAATAGTAGCCTCTTCCAACTCACTCACCTCCAACACCTTAATCTCGCCTTCAATGACTTCAATTATTCTATGATTCCATCTGCTTTGGCAAATCTTACAAATTTAACTTATCTCAATCTCTCTAATTCCTTCTTTTCTGGACAAATATCATCTGAACTTTCAAAACTTGCTGGTTTATCCACCCTTGACTTGTCTTCCAGTTATGACCCTCAATACGAAGGATTGTTGGAATTGGAAAGGCCAAACCTGAGAAGTCTAATAGAAAATTTGAAAAGCTTGGAATACCTTCATCTTTCTTCTGTTAAAATAAATTCTAGAATTCCCAATATCTTGGCAAATATGTCCTCGTTGAAGTCCATTTTTCTTGGTCATTGTGGCTTATTCGGAGAGTTCCCAAGTGCAATTTTCCAGCTACCAAAACTTCAAGCCCTTATTGTGCATTACAACCCAGGTCTTATAGGTAATTTGCCTGAGTTTCACTTTCATAGCCAGCTTACAGACCTTCGAGTTTCCTTCACAAGTTTTTCTGGTAAGCTACCAGCCTCAATTGGAATGCTTGGCTCTTTGGAGCATTTGGATGCAAGTGATTGCAAGTTCTTCGGTTTATTACCATCTTCACTGGGTAATATTACCAAGCTCCACTTCTTGTCCCTTAAAAATAACTTTTTCCAGGGTAAAGATGTTCCTTTCTTATCGAACCTAACACAATTGACTTCCATATATCTTGGTTTGAATCAGTTCACATTTCCTGAGATCCCTTCTTTTTTTGCTAGGTTTACTCATCTCCAATGTCTAGGCCTTGCTTTCAACCAAATATCTGGTCATTTTCCATCTTGGATTACGAACATGAGTCAGTTAACATTTTTGAATGTCGCGTCTAACATGTTACAAGGATCTCTTCCAAGCTCCATTTCCAAGCTCAAGAACATTGAGACCTTAGGATTTGAGGGGAATAACTTCACTGGTACAGTGGAGATCAACCCATTTCTTGACCTCAAATACTTGAGACATTTGACCTTTTCCTTAAACAAATTATCATTGCTAATCAAAACTAGGAACAGCACCAACACCACTCTTGCAAAGTTGGAACAACTAGGACTTGGTTCCTGTAATCTAAAAGAGTTTCCCAACTTCTTGCAAGACCAGGACCAACTACAATTCCTTAGCCTTTCGTTCAATGACATCCATGGCCAGATACCCAAATGGATATGGAAACTAAGTAAAAGTTTATGGTATTTGGACCTTTCTTATAACTCCTTGACAAACTTTGAAAATTTTCCAATTTCCCTTTCGTCATCTAGTCTTTACTATTTAGATCTTAGTTCTAACATGCTTGAAGCTTCACTACCAATCCCGCCGTTCTCCATCATTTTCTTTTTAGTTTCTAAAAATAAATTCAGTGGAGGAATCCCACTTGAATTTTGCAATTGTACCTCTCTCCAAATTCTTGATTTGTCTCACAATAGTATAAATGGAACAATCCCACCACAATGTATCAGCAGCTTTAGTAAGTCTTTGTTTGTTTTGAATTTGCAAGATAACAACTTTGAAGGTCCAATTCCTACAACATGGGCAGTTGAAAACGATCTAAGGGTTATTAAACTCAGCCAGAATAATTTGCAAGGGAAGCTACCAAGATTGCTAACTAATTGCAAGATGCTAGAGTTTCTTGATCTTGGTGACAATCATATCAAAGACACCTTCCCTTTTTGGTTAGGAACTCTTCCAAAATTGAAGATTCTCATTTTACATTCCAATGGACTCTATGGGTCAATCAATGTTCTAGAGTCGAATTCCCTGTTTCCTAGTCTTCAGGTAGTTGACCTTTCTCATAATGAATTTTCTGGTCTTCTCCCAACAGAATACTTCAAGAGGTGGAATGCCATGGTAGACCCTGATAAGGAGAACAAAGCATATTGGTATACATATGACAATCTTTCGGTGAATGGCGTCTATTTGCCTTTGCAGTATCCTTACTCAATGACAATAACAAACAAAGGCTTGAGATTGGAATATGCAAAGGTACTAGAGGTTTTCTCAGGAGTTGATCTTTCTTGCAACAAATTCAAGGGAGAGATTCCACAAATAGTAGGGAGGTTAAAGGGACTTCAACTGCTTAATCTTTCCAACAACATCCTTGTTGGTCCAATCCCACCAACCTTGGGAAATCTCACAAATCTTGAAGCTCTGGACCTTTCTCAAAACAAGCTCATAGGAAGCATTCCTACACAGCTGACGCAGCTCAATTTCCTTGAAGTCTTCAATGTGTCTCACAACCATTTGACAGGACGTATCCCGAAGGGCCAGCAATTTGACACATTTGAAAACACCTCATTTGATGGGAATTCAGGGCTATGTGGATTCCCACTTTCAAGAAAATGTAACGACTTGAAGGCCTTGCCTTCACCATCTTCAACCCCTAAAGGAAATGAAGACTCTGGATTGCTAACTAAATTTGGTTGGAAAGTAGTGGTGTTGGGTTATGGATGTGGATTCCTTGTTGGTGTGGTGATTGGAAACATTGTTTTTGCAAAAACACATGAATGGTTGATGAGGACTTACAGAATCAGGCTATCAAGAGGAGTGATGAAGGTTGCAGGAAGCAGTTTTGGTGGAAGTAGCAGTATGTTAGTGCCATCAAGCTGCACAAGTTCAATTTAGTTAAATTGAAACTAGCCTAGTCTTTTGTGTACTTTTAAGTTATATTTCAAGTGGAACAAAGGGAACCGAAAAGGGACTTTTGAAGAAAAAAAGTTAATGGAAAAAGGCCCCCTGGCCTAAACAAAAGGAAAGCCTAAAATAAAAAAACTTTGAAATTCAAAATTAAAATTCCCGGAAAGGAAAAAAAACAAGAAAAAGAAAAAAAAAATGGAATTCAACCCCTTCAAACCCCCCCCCCAATTCCCTGAAAAAAAAACCAAACAAGGAGAATAAAGGGATCCGAAAGATTGAATAGGATTAGAAGGATCCAGGGAAGATAAATATCTATATGATGTCACTACTGGCTGATCTGAAGCGAAGCATTCTCAAAATCAAATGCTGATTCATCATTTACTATAGAATGATTTTGCATAATTGAAGAACCTGCAAATTATGTAGAAGCTACAAGATCATCATTAGTTGAGCAAGAGAACAACAATCAATCTAATGATAATTTTGCTACTAGAGGGACCAGAACACTAACTGATATCTATGAAAGGTGTAATCTGGTCATTGAAGAACCTGCAAATTATTTAGAAGCTACAGGATTGAATGTCTGCAGAGTTACAATGCAGGAGGAGTTTGCTATGAAGAGTTGCAAAGCTGTTAATATTTCACTGGTTCCAGGAGAAAAATTCAAAATGAAGATGATTCAGCCAAAGTTGAAGGCAGAATTTATAGAAGCGTAATTGGCAACCTCCTATACTTTTCAGCTTCCAAACCTAACATTATGCATGCTGTGAGTCTTCTAGCTTGATTCATGCAGTCATCAAGTGAAATTCACTTGAAAGGAGCCAAATGTGTTCTTAGATATGTGAAAGGAACTATTGGCTTTGGGGTGATGTATTCAAGATCAGATGAGATGAAGCTGCTTGGTTCTACTGATAGTGACTAGGTAGGGTTTGAAGATGACATGGAAAGCACCTCTGGTTGTTGTTTTTCCATTGGTTCAAGAAAGATCAGCTGGTGCTCAAGAAAACAAGATGCAGCTGCAGAGTCAACTGCTGAATTTGAGTATATTGTTGCCGCTGATGCAGCAAATCTGGCAATTTGGATAAGAAAGGTGATGCGTGACTTGAAGCATGCTCAAAAGAAATCTACTGTGATCCTTTGTGATAACAAATGCACCATTGCCATTGTGAAAAATCCTATATTTCATTGAAGAACCAGACATATCAAGTTGACGTATCACTCCATTAGAGAAGTTGAGCATGATAATGAAGTTCAGTTCATTCACTGCAGTTCAGAGAAGCAGATAGCAGATATTTTTACGAAGGGGTTGCAGAAGTCCAGGTTCGAGCTATTAAGGGAACAACTTGGAATGCGCAGCCTTGATGTCAAGGAGGAGTGATGAAGTTTGCATGAAGCAGTTTTGGTGGAAGTAGCAGTATGTTAGTGCCATCAAGCTGCACAAGTTCAGTTTAGTTAAACTGAAACTAGCCTAGTCTTTTGTGTACTTTTTAGTTATATTTCAAGTTGGAGACATGTGATCTGATATGTACTTTTTTATGACAAAATGTTATTCTAAAAGTGCTCCTTGGCTTAAGCATAAAGAATGCTTAGATTAAGGAACTTTTGAATTTCAAATTTAAATTCTCTGTAATGTACAAATACCAGTAAAATGAAATGGAAATTGGATTTCAGCTCTTTCAGCCTCTCTCTCCATATCCTTGAGAAAAAACCAAACAAGGAGAATAAAGGGGTCCGAAAGATTGAATAGGATTAGAAGGATCCAGGGAAGATAAATATGTATATGATATCACTGCTAGCATTTCATTGTGCATTTCTTTTTCCTACTTTTCTCTAATTTATTTTTTCTTTTTATTTTTTGTGTGTGTGGATTATAATTCAAGTAGAGTGCCAAACGAATGTGTTGTATGGATTGTACTTTAAAGCTGCATGAATAAATTGCAGTGGAGAATATATGCAGAAGCTTGCTTGGCACAAAAGGAGAACCTTCAACACTGCTTTCTGCTATATAGAAGTGTTTACTAATATAAATTTTACTGTCCTAAAGGTGTATCTTATCTCATTTTCACTTTCTGTAATACAAAAACAGATTAATAGTTAGTAGCTCTTTGTGACCATTTGATGTCTAGTGATTGTGATTGGTTTTCATTTTTCTGAGGACTTAAGTTGCTTTAATTAGCCAAAGCCTAAAATGTTAGATAATCTCTCTTAGAGGTCTTAACAAGTAACATTTATTTGTTGAACAAACACTTTGATCTCAGTTTTAGAGGTTTTTTTATTTTTTTTATTTTTTATCAACAGCCTCAGTTTTAGAGTTGTGTCCAAGCAGAACATATGCAGAAGCTTGCTTAACACAAAAGGAGAGCCTTCAACACTGCTTTCCACTCTATAGAAGTGTTTACTAACATAAATTTTACTATCCTTGACGTGTATCTTATCTCATATTCACTTTCTGTAATGCACAGATTAATGGTCATTAGCCTCATGGAAGGGCATGAGCATGATAGTGGTCATGGAAACGGAATCTTTTGTAGACGGAATGAGCCAACCATCTGGAAGATTGCCATTGATACCACGGTTGTGCTGGCAGCAGTTGACATATGATGAAATTAACCTTGCTTTGTTACAGCAACAGTACTCATAATTGAAGCAATGAATATGACTTCTAATATGACCTCAAGTGCATTTAGAGTTGTTATATTTAATATATGAGAAACGCTAATGTTGCTTTCCCTAACGCAATGATTCGGATATTTTCTATGCATATTTGTTTATTAAATTTCTTGAGATAATCTTCCCTATCCTGTTGAGCTAGACCTTTTTAACTGAATATTTTTTTCAGAAAGAGTTTTATTAAACACCATATAAGCAAAAACAAGGCTATAATTAAACTAAGCTTGTTCAATATATGATATATGTAGGTGGTTCAACCAATGAAACAGAGAAAATGAAAAGAAAAAAGACAGAACAAGGTAAGATGATGAAGATAGACTAAGTAGATTATATTTGATCTTCCCTTTTCTTCTTTGAATGGTTCTAGACTAGAAGATATATGAACTGTTAAGAGTGTTGGATCTGGAAATCACAGATATCAAATCCTTTTCTTCCCACATAATTAATTTTTCCTATATATTAATCATGGGCTTAAACCATCCTATTTAATGTGCTCTTTGAGATTAATTTTGAGATTGACAGCAATCTAGTTTCTGATGGATATGGCCAATTGGCCATGAAACTGACTCAACACCCATTTTTAGGTCCATACTTGGGACCTGATCATTTTCTTGAATGTGTGAAATGCTGATACACATCAATTAAATATTCGTCTGTAAATGGGTCCAAAATAAATATAAAAACAATATAGAAAACTACTTTTGAGTATGAACTGAAAAATTCAGTTTGGGCATCAAAACACAGTATTTTTAATGATTTTGCAAGAAACAATAATCATTAAGGGTACTTTAGGGTTTTCATGCTCAAATCGGTATTAAAATTAGACAGTCCAAGTTAAAAGCCTGCATTTTCTAGACAATAGAATTCACAAAAATTTTGACTCTTTGTTCATAAAGCCCTACACAAATTGCACTTCACTGATTGATAGAGGGATGGCCTGGCCCCTCAATGCTTAGCTGTGTTCTCTATTTTGGATTAATTTTAGAACACCTCAAAGGCAGGATGCATACACAATAGGAAGGGCAAAGAACTTGATCTTTTCCTCTGTTTTTTTCCCATCGCATTTGAGTTGCTAGCTCAAGTGGGGCTCGTGGGGCTGTTTAATATTGATGGATATTATGTTATTTCTTGCTGGGGTTGTTTGACGAAAAGGCGTAGAAGAAGGATTCTTTAACCCTTCTGCAAGGAACATTGTCATATCAGCAGATAATGCTAGAAAGCTGACGCAGAAGATGGAGGTAATTAAGTAATTCTTCTCTTTCTTTCAAGTTTCAGGATTTGGAATTAGTTGTATGAAGAGCTTTAAAATGGTGAAAAGAATGTCAGTTAGTATTTATTGTCAACTACATGCTTTTGATAAGTTGAAGAGAAGTGTAGATCAGAAGGAAAAAAGTCAAATTGGTGGACACCCTTTGATTAATGCCTCAATAAAACTATTTTATGTGTCACAACCTTTTAAAAGTCATCATGTCTGAAATCAGTATCTTGGCATGGAACTGTCGAGGATTAGGGATGTCTCAACGCTTGCAATACTCAAGAAACGTATAAAACAGCAGAAACCTCAGATCATCTTTCCCTCGGAAACAAAGCGCAATTCAACGGAGATTAAGAGGATTTTTAGATTGAGTTTGGGATTTTATCACTATTTCGCAGTTGATACCATTAGCAAAAGCGGTGGCCTAACTGGATTTTATGAGCATCCAGACACCAGCCACCGCAGTGAATCCTGGGCACCTCTAAAATCCTTAAAGAGTGCATCTACTCTTCTGTGCGTTGCCTAGTCGATTTCAATGAGATTCTTAACCAGTCAGAGAGAGAAGGAGGAGACCCTAGACCTCTCAAACAAAATGGAAGCTTCTGTGGAGACAACCGTGAGTTAGCAGAACTGAAATTTAAGGGGCTACCGTTTACTTCATCGCAAAATCTAATAGGGAAGATACTAAGAGAGAGACTTCACAGGACTTTAATGACTAGGAAGTGGTGGGAATTGTTTCCAAGAGCTATCTCCCATCATGTACCAGTTGTGAGATTAGACCACTTTATACTAGTTAAAGCTATAACTAGGAGGGGAACGACCGAAGTGAGAAGAACAAAATCCCCTCGATTTGAGAATTACCAGCTAAAAGAGGACTGTGAGGAAATCATTCGTCAAGGGAGGACAGATGCTGAGGGATATAATAGATGGACAAGGTGATAAATTGGATTAATTGGTAAATATGGATCTATGCTAAATGACTGGAGTTTCAACAAGTTTGGAAATATATCTATCATAAAACTCGCAATTTACAAGAGGAGTTAAAAAGGATACAAGACTAACATTTTATAGTTCGGTTCTTCTTGCGGAAAAGTCCCAACTGAGCTTTAATAGTTGGTCTGCAATTGCGAAGATAACTTGCTATCAGGAGGTGATGCTGGAATCAGATTGCCTGCATGCAATCAGGCTAGCTAGGTCTGATGAAGAATGTTTCCTATCCGTTGGAGCCATAGTTAAAGATTTAAGGGCAACGTCACTAGCTTCTAAAAGATAATTTATTATATTTATACATAAAATTTCATATTTCAATAGAGAAACATCTCACCATCTTTAATCTTATTTAAAGTTATTAACTAGTCAAGTTGAATACCTAATTACTCATGCTCAAACTTACTTTAAAAATTCAAGCTTGAGTTCAAGTATTTGTGGAGATTAAAATAGTTGAATTTGTGCTCAAGTTCACAATTATTCGAGTGAGTTTGAGTTTGTTTGTGAGCTTGAATTGATATAAATACTTTAACTCTATGTAATTTCAAAGTATTTTAATAACTAATTATTTAACTATAAATTTTTTACACTTTTTAAAAATATTATAGTACAAAAAGCTTAAATATATTAAGTCGAACAATAAAAAAAAACAATCATAATTAAACTCTATTTGAATATTTTTATATAATTTATCTAAATTCCCTTTTTAACATTATTAAATTTTAAAGTTATCATATATTTAAATTCAATAAATAAATGTGTAATATAATTTTTAATTCTAAACCAAATACTCATGAGTAATCCATAGGTAATCATAAAAACTCAAACTCGTTTCTTCATTAAGCTTGATACATTATGCTTGAACTCAACACATTTACTAAATGAATCGAGTTCAAGTTGAATTTAACTCAAGTAATTTACTAGTTACTCATAAACGATTCTATTTATTAATAGTTCTACTCAGGTTGAAAATTAGTTTTCCTACTTTTTTTTTTTTCTTTTGATTTTTCACATAATTTTAGGCAATACTTTTATATAAGAAAATTTGAAAAAAAAATTCTCATATGTTGTTTTTAAAAAGAATTTTTAATTTCAAATGGTATAATTTTTCTCTATATAAGAATACTCCGAAATTACTTAATTTGTAAACCAATAACTGCAAAACATAGCTAGAACAAGCTGAACTTAGATCGACACAAATTAAAAAGTCTATAACTTAATTAAATCAAACAAAATATATGGGTGTGTGTTTGAATAATTTGAAATAATCTAAGGATGTTACAACTATTATCCATAAAAAAGCATGAGTCCTACGTGAGCATAGCTGAACTTTAACAGAATCAACTACCCTTTGAAAATGACATTTTTTTCTTTAATTAAGTAAACTACTAAAAGAATTATATTCTAAAACTGGTAAATCTTTATAATTGCAACAAAGTTAATTGTAGTCAGTCTAAATCATTTTTTTTTTTTGTAATTATTGAAAAAATAAATTATCTTTTAATATTGAGAGCTCATTCTCTATTAATTATTAAAAAAATATCATCTAAATATAGTAAAATGTAAAATAACATTCTTTAAGTTATTATCCACATATTTTTTTTAAAAAGAATGTTGTTTACTATATGTATTATTCCAAATTATAAAATAATAATTATTTGATAAAAAATCTCAATATTAAAAATTCTTTTCCCATTATTAGTATTGTCCAATCCAACCCTATAACACTTTTCCTTTCCAAAAATGGAAAAAGTAAAGAAAAAGAATTGCTTCGGTAACAATTTCTTATCTTCCCTCTGTTTTCATATATAAACCTCCATCACTTCTTCTGAAAGGCACAAACCTTTCGTTCTTTCGCTTTCTTGGTTCTTTTGAAACCCACTGTTTCCTTGGTTCGTTTTCTGTGTCCAAGAAAAACCCACAATTTCTTTCTTTGTTTTCTTCAAGAGATTTGGTGGGGGTTTAGTCTATGAGCTGGGGTTTTACTCTGTTCTTGTTGGTCTTCAGTTGTTTGATCCAAAAGGGTTTTTTTTTTCACAAGGGAAATAAGCAAAGATGCATCCTTGGCTGAGAGCACAGATGGTTCTTTCTTGCTGGGAACTGGTGGGTAGAATTTTGGGTACGAGCAAGGATGATGTTAGTGATGATGATGATCCTGATGATTCCTCGCTCCATTCTCCGCTATTCTGGAGCAGAGACCTCGAAAAGCACCCCTATGGCGAATTCTCATTCGCAGTGATTAAAGGCAATGAGGTTATCGAGGATCACAGCCAGGTCGAGACTGGAAGGGAGGCTACCTTTGTTGGAGTCTATGATGGGCATGGTGGTCCAGACGCGTCTCGCTACATATCTAGGCGACTCTTCCGGAATTTCATCAGTCAGTGCCATTGTCTTTTCTTTTCAATTTATAGCTCTTTGTTTTGGTATCAATCTTGTGTTTTATGGATTGGAGATTCTTGGAGACGATTTTCTTTTGGTATGACCATGAATCTTTTCTATGGAATTAGTTGTTTCTTGGATGAATTCTGGAATTTTCTGGATAAGTTAATTGAAT